CTTTGCCGCATTCCAGTCCGACGTTTGTGTGAAGAAAGCCACGGGTGGTTGGCGCATCGTTCATGACTTCACCAAGCTAAACGACGCAACCATCCCGGCCCAGACTGCAATTCCTCGGAAGGACATGGTACTCGACACCATGGCTCTGTACACGTCGGATAGCGAAGTGTACAGAGCCATCGACTTGACCGATGGATTCTATCAAATCCTCATGAGGCAGAGCGACATTCCTCTCACGGCGGTGAGGGCCCGCAGCGGTATGCTCTGGGAGTGGCTTGTCATGGCACAAGGATTGAAGAATGCCCCAGCCAGGTTCAATCGCATGGTATCCCGTGTGCTGTGCCCACTCCGTGACTTCGCGCCAAGCTACTTCGACGATATAGTCGCGATGATGGTATCTCAGCGTGCTTGAGGTCCACTTGAAGCATCTAAGGCAAATCGTCCAAGTGATGCGTGAAAACAAGCTGTACGCGAATATGAAGAACTGCATCTTGGAGATTCCGGTGCTTGCTTCTTTTGTGAGCAAGAACGGCGTCCGAGCTGATCCCGAGAAAGTGTCGCCGATCTGCGCATGACCCACGCCACAGAGCCCCACTGAGTTGCGTCAGTGGCTGGGTCTGGCGAATTACTTTCACAAGTACACGAAGAACTACGCCAATCTGATTCAGCCGCTCCCCTCGCTGTTGAAGAAAGACGCGGCATGGTCGTGGACTCAAGCGCATCAAGACGCCTTCAACTCGGTGAAGAAAATCCTGGCAGAGGCTCCAATTCTTGCTCTCCCGGATGACTCGACACCTTTTCACGTCGTGTGCGTCGCGAGTGACTTCGCCATCGGCGGCGCGCTGATGCAATTCGACGATGAAGGTCGCGAACGAGTCGTGAGTTACCAGTCCAGGCAGATGAAGCCGGCCGAGAGGAACTACCCGGTCCATGACAAGGAAGTTCTCGCGGTGAGATATGCTCTGATCAAATTCAGGGTGTATTTACTGGGTTAAAATACCTTCGCGGTGTATACCGATCACGCATCGCTGAGGACAGCGATGAAGAGCCCGCATCGGTCCCCACGGATGGCCCGCTGGCTCTCGGTCTTCTCTGAGTACAACTTCGTTGTCCACAACAAGCCCGGCAAGAACAACATTCTCGCCGACGCTTTGTCTCGGCGACCAGACTACGACCCACGAGGTTCATTGGGACGACAAGGCTTGCTCGATGAAGACGATGTTGATGAATGCGCCATATGTCAAACGTCGGGATTGAACCTGACGAGCGTCTCCCCGGAATTACCGCTTCGCGACGAAACCCGAACTGTGTACGGCCACGATCCGACGTACGCCAGTATCCTGAGCATCTCCGCTCTCCCAGCGACGACGCGCGGAGAGCTCTCTCGCGACCCATACGGAACCGCATCGATCGATATCGTCTTGAGGACAATCTACTGACGTATACCATCGACAACTTCGATGCTCCTCGTATTGTAATTCCCAACGACTCCAACCTGTGCTCACGGATCATCCATGAGTTTCAGGATGCCCCGCTCGGCGGTCACTTGGGCCGCGAGAAAACGTTCGGAGCCGTGTCACGCGATTTTTATTGCCCCCACCTCTATAAATGGATACGCGAGTGGGTGCGCACGTGTGATATCTGCCAACGCGTGAAGCCATCTTCGTCGACGCAGGTTCCCCTGCGTCCTCTTCCAGTGGCCACCGAGGCCTGGCGCTCGGTGTCAATGCACTTCATCTTTGGTCTTCCACCTGATGCTCAGGGTTACTCAGGTGTCTTGGTGTTCGTGGATCGCTTCAGCAAGATGGTCCATCTCATTCCAGTATCGGACAAGATCTCCACGGCCGACACCGCGGTGCATTTCATTGACACCGTCTTTCGTCACCATTTTCTTCCCGTATCCATCGTCTCTGACCGCACACGACGTGTACATCGGTGAAGGTCTCACTGATCCCAACGGAGTTGATGCCTTCGATCTCTTTGGAGAAGATGACGGTGAACCCATCCGCACGGTCGTAGATTGCTCGACTACTTGGCAATACACGTTGGGGAGAAATACCTCGACGATATCTACAAAGAAGACGACTGCGATACCTCGGACGGAGAAGACAGCGCGTTTTACAGTGACGGGCCTCGGTCGTCAATGCACCAGACTAGTCAAGCGGCAGTCAAGCCTCTGAATGATTTGAACCAGTTGGGTCAGATTGAGGAGGAACATCCTACTCCTCAACGTCCGGGGAAGGAGAAGGCGTGGCAGAAGGTGAGACGTTTCCTGGTTGAGGAAGAAGAAAAGGCGCGACAAAGAAGAAGCCAGTCGCTCCAAACCGACAAGCGGATACTGCAGGCTACGACACAGTCAAGTTGCTGGATATCTTGGCTCGTTCGGGCACCGAAGACGTGTACTGCAAGAGCAGTTCATCGTCCGAAGCGAGGGAGTCACCGCATACCTTTGCTGGCCACATGGGGTCTGGTATCATCCACAGAGGCTAAAATGGGTCCGGTGTCGGTTGAAGTTGAAAGTTCCTCACCCAAATCGCTAGTCGAAAATGAACTTGGCGAGTAAAAATTAGAAATCGACTAACCCAACTGGTTTGGGATTTTTTTTTTCAAAGCAATTCTGGAATGTTGCCACGGAAATGCTTCATAAGACCCTCTTCCGTCGCGACACCTCCGTCCCAAATGCAATTATAGTATAAATCAAGAACTCCCTGCTCGTATGTTTTTTTCTTGGGAGGTCGACCACCTCCCGTTCTTCTATAGCGACGCTAAAATTCGTTTGTGTCCTTAATGTGGTTGAGCTCCAGGTCCGGTAGTTTCTACCTCCAACCAAGTAATGTCACCGGGTGTACGCCCAGCTTGGATGCGGCCTTCGCTAGGGACCAGTGCTTATTCTGCTGCCAGATCGTTAATAGCCTGACTTGCTCTCCGATGATATACTGCTTACGGTGGCGCTTCGTTGGAGCCTCCTTCTCCCCCTCGACGTCGATGTCGGCGGTAGCGTAAGCGTTGCAACGCTTTGGCATGCCCGAGGGAAAATCCATGCAGCACGAAGATGCCGCAGAAGGGTGGGTATTTATAATATGAGTGTGGATCACAGGGTTGTTAAAATTAATGGCTTAGGATGTTCGAATCTGAATCTGATTCCACAAGAATAGTTTTTGCACCCACTCGAATAGTTATGCATCCAAGATCCATGATGCAAAACTATTCAGAGTTAACGGGAGTAACATGTCGGCGATTAGCACCTTCAGCTTCGTCCTGGACTCTTCGCATAGCTTGACATTGCTGCTTGATGTAGCATCCGATTAGCCGAATCGCTGCTTCATGTTGTTGGGTGCAAGGTCTGAAATACCCCCGTTTTGTCACGAAGGTTGTAGCAGCAATATGCAAGTCCAGCTTGCCTTCCCGATGTAGGAGGCGAAGGTTCTTTAACACGGAGAAGCCATTCTATTGCTTGATCTCGTGATCGTCCAAAAACTTGTACCAGTTCGTTTGGAATTCTTGACCAACGCGTAGAACGTCATCAGAGTAAGTATCAGTTGGTGGGTCCAAAGCATACCCATTCGGAAGGAAGAGCTTCCTGTAGTTTGTTATCTGTTTGTACGCAGACTTTTTCCTCGCAAGTCACATAAGTCCCACAATCGTGGTGTCTTGCCGTACCACTCAAACCAAATTGCTGCAGTAGACTTCGGAACGATTTTGTGACGCAGGACTTTGTTGTTTTCGCCAAACGTTGTGCGTTAGCGCCACTCGGAGATGGAATAGAGTGGTTGTGCGTACCGGATCGCTCCCCCCACCCATATTCAACGGTGGCAACGTGCCATTTTGGTCAATCTCTTCATGAAATCCTGGTTCATCGAAATCAATTCACCGATGACACAATTCTGGTGGTTGATAAGACACTCCTCCATCGATATTCTGCGATTATATCTCCCGGCGCATCTCAAGCCGTTCCTCTTGCTTCGTTCTGGAGCTCCGAGCTCCACGAAAAGATTTGCGCCTTGGAAATGCCCAGTGCAAAAATACATTCTAGCATTCTACATGCTAAAGGGCACATTGGGTATCGATCTAGAACTTTAGGGAATCGCTGAATCCGGACAACAACAAGGACACTTGCTACACGATCATTAAGGCGAATCTCAGGGTCTTCTGTATC